TGTGACCCCTGAGAAACAGATCCTCAAATGACCTTAAGTGTAAAAATAAATTGATTTATTTGGGCCAACTGTATGGTATTAAACACCCAAAAGGAAAGTATAACCAAAGAGTAAAGTGATCAGTATATATTTTTAAGAGTTTAAGGGATTACACTTCCCAGACATTCGTCTTAAATCCATATAAAAAGGCCAGCCTTGTCTACATAGTGAGTTCCAGGACAGCTGCAGTTACAGAGAGACACTGTCTCAAAAAAAAAAAAGTTATTTAGACAGTTATTTCTCATTGATGATTTTGTTCTGAATCAGAAAGTCCTGCTCAGATGCAAAACTTCAAATCTTGGTCTCCAATACTGTAGTGCCCACCTGTAGCTAAGGGAGACAACCCGCTATTGTTCTAAAATGATGAATAAACGAACCCAGTAGAGGATTGCTTTTAAAAAGAAAGCGTTCATCAAGAAATTCCAATGAACTCTGATATGAACATTTGAAATTTGTCCTGTTCTGACTTTTTTGTGGTTCCCTGTCTAGAACTTGTAATGCTAACTACTCTTGCCTTTACTTCTTCACATCTCCTAGGCACCAGTCAAGGACTTTCTTTTCTCCCTATAGATAAGATTATGTACTTTGTGAGTCTTTTAGAGAGACCCCCCTGAAGGGGTACCCCAATTGCCTTACCCTTTGTCCCTGTTCAGCATGGAAGAAGCCAGAGTGGTCTGCGTCCTGATTCCCTATTGGGAATTTGGGTAACTGCTTCAGAAGACAGTGTGGTAAGAATAGGACTTAGGAACTGTCTAGGCAATTAGGGTAAAAAGACCTCAAAGAAAAGTATCCAGTTTCTTGGCTAAAAGTCAAAATGTCCTTGGGCCTCTTAGCAACATACTCTGTCCCAAAGGCCAAAATTGTCAAAAGTATTTGGGAGCTCTTATCTAATCCCTAAAAGATTTTAGTGTTATCTCTTCAGAGGGGGGAATGTTAGAGTAGCCAAAAGTCTCATAAAATAGAAAGAGTACAGAAAAAAGTGATGGGAGATATGGGCAGAGTTGTGTGGATTTGATCAAAACACCTAATATGCATGTATAAAATTTTCAATAAATTATTTTTTTATAAAAGTTGCTAAGCTGCTGGAAAGTAGGACTGGGGCTCTCCTAATTATGTTCAGGATGCTGTGAGACACTATCTCCACACTCCCATTCCATTTGTGCTTAATTTTTTTTTTGAGACAGCCTCTCATTATGAAAGCCAAGCTGGCCTCGAACTCAAGGAAATCCTCCTGCTTCAGCCTCCTGGAGTGTGAGCTATCATACCCAGCTAAGTTCCTTTGGGATCAGATGGCCCTGTGGGAATTGTGGGTCTGTACTTCTTAGCAGCATGACTTTGGGCCTGTGAAAAAGAGGCTCATGAACCTTCTCTCCCGTTCCAGGCCCAGCCGACCTGAGACACTGGCTGCCATCAGTCCCAGAAGGAAGCATGGCCACAGGCTAGAGGTCACTGCTTAGGTTGGAGGGTCTGTTTTCCTTTGTCCCTTACTACCATGTCAGCTTCACAGAATGGGGCTCCATACCTTCTCTAGGATTCTGGAAATGGCCAGCAGGGCTGTTTTGAATTATCACAATGATTATGGGTCACGGATGGCCCCCAGTGAACTCCACGCAATGAAGAATTGTCCTCTGTCCACCTTTCACGAGTTCCTTGGCCTCTGTGTAGGGAGAAATACCAATGTGTAGTTTTTGGATTTCAGAGCCTCAATTTGACTTCCAGGTACACACAAAGCCTGCTGTACAGTTTACTCTGGTCAGAATATCTGCACTGGCTCTTGACTGTGAGACTGGGGGAACCCTGAGCATGGGTTGGGCTGCTTGGTGGGGGTCGAGCTGCTGACTCTGCGTGCCTGCATCTGAAGCTGGGGGTTCTTGACTCTGTGAGGCTGCAGGCATCTGACTGCTTCAGGGCATCCAGGCAGGCCACCATTCGTGTACTGAAATGTGCAAAGTCACTTCCTGAAGAGCAGTTCCTCCTCTTCTCCTTCACGGGTGGGCAGCATATCACTGCTGCTTTTGCAGGGTATGGTGTCTGCAGGCAGCCAGTAGAACTGATGGCCTACACTCAGGGAGTGCAGGCACAAACCATGCATGTGGAATAGGCCTGGTCTGAAGGAGCAGAGCTGGCACTGTGTGTGCTGGGAATGTACTTCCATCCCCTCAAAGTGACAGTAAATCTCAGGGTCAAGGGCTTGTTGTTTACTAGTTGAATGTCCTGGGGACTTTGAACAACCTTGCTGGTCCCTAACTGCCTCACCTGAAGCACAGGCTGCCACGCCCCTCACAGGGTTGTAGAGAAAGCTGCATGAGTTGATTCCACGTCCCTGCAGAGAAGCAAGGTTAAGTCCCAATATCTGTATTATTGCTCTTGTTATTTCTCCAAACAATTCTACCCAGCTGGGTCCCTGACCTGACCAGGCCTTAGCGTCCCCTTAGTTCTTGCTCACCAGACACTGAGGTGAGAGTGGGGGTCCTGGCCCAGAAGGACTGTGGAGATGAGACATCTGCTCTGGGACCTGCTGGGCTCCAGCTGGAAGGAAGAAAGCCTGACTTCCTGCTGCATTACTGGGGTTTCAGGGGTAGGTAAGGGTATCTCTCATCCAGCATTTCCTCAAGATTCTGCACTGCTTCCTGCATCATCCACCACTGTTGGGACCCTAGAGAGCCCTGGGCCAATCCTCAGGCTGGGGGGAGGGGCAGTGGGATGACCTCCCAGGTTTCTGCCCTGATCTCTCAGTTCTCTGGATGGGCTAGGTTTCTGCCCACAAGGTCCAGCCAGACCTCAGCATGGGAAACCACTGTGGTTCCCTAAGATGATCTCTACTTGGGCTCAGGGAAGCCATCAGACTCAAAGCTCAGGGTGTCTGGGCTTCAGTTGGGGCATGGAGTGGCTTTGTCTTCTAAGCTCTGAGTCTTTGCCCTTGGCCGCACAAGCAGTTCTTCTCCGAACAAGGCCTGGTGGGACTCACCTGCCTTGGTCTTGACTCCTTTCCCTGGGCCACAGGAGCTGGCTATTGGCAATTGATTGCTTCTCCTCTCTTATAGCACCCTGAAAGTTCTCCTCCTCCTCCTTCTTCTCAACCCCCACCCCCCCCCCCCCCTCCGCCTGCCACTTTCAATATTCCCAAGCTTTTTTGCTTCCCCTCCCTTATAGCCCCCTGAAAGTTCTCCCCCTCCTCCTTCTCCCCCCCCCCCCCCCCCGCCCACCGTGAGTGACATAAGCAATCCCCAGAGGGTGATGGATGCTATTTGGTTTCCATCAAGCACCACCTGGGATACCATTGATTCTGCCCTGAGGTGTTCATGGTTCATCTAGGGAGAAAGTCACATGACAGATAACTGCAGTTCAACATAGTGTGTGTTGAGACTAAGTTTCTAGTAGAAGCCTTGCCCCTTCTCATGTGAGAATAGCCAACCATTTCTGCCCAAGAAAGATGTGAAACTTCCAAGAGGTGTTAACAGTAGAGTTGGGTATTGAAGGATGAAGAGGATTCATTGATGGAGAGAGCCTTCTCTGTTCCTGCCTGATCATGGAGCCTGTACACATGAGGCAGAGACAAGTTTCCTCTATAGGATAAGAAAGTCATGTTTCAATGTCCCACTTGACCCTCTTTCCGGTGAGGTGAGAGGTGAAGAGATGTCACTAAGGACTCTGGAAGTCAGAGCAGGGTTGGGGAGTCCTACTCATCCTCTGAGACCAGTTCCACCAGAGGATCCTGGGCTGCTAGGATAGTAGCTACCTCTGCTGAGGTGGGAAACATGGAGGGTTCTATCTTGGCATTGTGTGGGCTGGCTCCATGCACTGCAGTTGGCAAGATGCATGTGTGTTTCCTGTGGAACTTGAAAAAGTGCATGTTCTAATTCTGGCATAGAGCTCAAGAGTCTGCCTTTCTAACATGCCATGTGGGTTTTGCTGGGGCCATCACGATGACCAAAGTTCCATGTTACAAATGTACCATGTCCTAGTGTCCTGGTTAGCTTTATTTTCAATTTGACCCAACCTAGAATCACTTGGGAAGACGGAACCTCAATTGAAAAAATTTCCTGATCAGATTGGCCTGTTGTTGTGAGGAACTGTCATGATCAATGACTGATATGGGAAAGCCCAGCTCACTATGGGAAGCACCATCCCTAGGCAGGTGGTGGGCTGTTTAAGAAAGCTAGCTGAGGGGCTGGCTAAAGAGATGGCTTAGTGATTAAGAACACTGGGTCTCTTGCAAAGGACCTGGGTTCCATTCTCAGCACCATATGATGGCTAAAAACCACCTGTAACTCTGGTTCCAGGGAATCTGACACCCGCTTCTGGCCTCTGTGAGCATTGTATGCATGGGTGCACTTACATACATGCAGACAAAACACTCATACACATAAAACAAAAATAAACTTTTTTAAAAGAAAGCTGTAGAGGATGAGCCAGTGAGCCAGCTAGCAACAGTCCTTCGTTGAGCTCCTGCCCTGACTTCCCTGAATGATGGATTGTAATCTGGAAATAAGTAATCTGTAATAAATTAAATAAACTGTTCTTCCCAAATTGCTTTTGGTCAAAATAGTTTATCACAGCAACAGAATGAAACCAGGGCAGCCTTTCTGCCCCAGCACCCAACCTCCTTGGGCTCTAGTATGCCAGAACAAATGCCTGAGAGGTGACCTATATAAAGAGGTTCTTCTGACTTTCAGTTTGGGAGGTTCTGGTCCATACTTATTTGGCCAGTTGCTTTGAGTCTGTAGTGAGGCAGTGCATCATGGGGGGAGGTATCTGGCAGAACAAAGCCACTGTCCACATGGCCAAGAAGTGAAAGAGAAGGGAAGGAGCCAAGGTCCCATGATCCTCTTCAGGGGTAGAACTCCAAAGACCCAAGACCTCCTACTGTTCCCACCTTTCTGAGGTTCTGCCATTTCCTAAGAGCGGCCATAGTCTGGGGACTGAGCTTTCCAGATACAGACCTCTGGGGGATCCTTACCCAAAGCATAGTACCCAAATGTCCTCCAAACTCACTGCAATAAACAGATTCTAGGATGAACCAAGTTGTAATTCAGAGTCCAACAGCAGCAGGACCCAGCCGGTCTCTCTAGGTTTGCTGTCCTGCATTTTCTGCCCTTAGCCATGACTGCAGCCTCCAGCACAACCTCATTTCTGCTGATGTCTTGCACACACCATGATGCTGCCAGCCACTGTGCTGTTTACCTTCTGCAACACTCCACCTCCTCCAGAGAGTGCACCCAGGTTCCTTACGCTGAGACACACACCCACAGACCAGACTCTGCACCTGCAGCCCTGTGCTCATCTGGATCATAACAAGGAGCTTATCAAGTAGAGAGGACACGTTTTGGGTCGGCTTGTCCCATTGGGCAGCAAGTCCAAAGGCATCCACTGCACATGTTCCCTTTACCCTGCCCCCCAGCTAGGAAGGGGCGTGGCCCATCACAAGTGCAAAGGGATTTTTTTTTCATGAACTGATGCAAAGCTGGCAATGTCTCAAAGGAGGCATTTAGAAGACTCATTCCATCTCACAGAGAAAGGATTCAATTCATAAACAAAGCACGTCGTGGAGTTTTTCCCTGACTCCTTCCTTGTTGCTGAGTTTTAAAAAGGCATAAAAAGAGAGTGTGATGTTTAATCTTGATTTTTAAACTGAGTGGATTTAGACTCTCCTAGGAGATACACCTTTGATTGTGTCTGTAAGGATATTTCCAGAGAGGCTTAGCCATGGAAGGACCCACCCTGAATGTGGGAGGCACCATCCTGTGAACTGAGGTCGCTGTCTGAATAGAAAGAGACTAAGTTTCGAGAAAGCTAGCTAAGCACCAGCATTCATTTCTCTGTGCTTCCTGACTGTCTTAGTTTCTTGTCCTGTTGCTATGATTAAAACATTCTGAAAAAAGCAACTTAAGGATGGAAGGGTTTATTCTGGCTCACAGTTTAAGATGCTCTCTATCATGGCAGGGAAGTCAAGACAACAGGAACTTGAAACATCTGGTCACATTATGTTCACAGCCATAAGAACAGAGCACTAAATGCGTGTGCTCAGCTCACTTTCTCCTTTCCATTCAGTCCAGGACCCAGGCCAGGAAATGGAGCCACCCACACTTACAGAGAGTCTTCCAACCTCAGTTAACCCAATTACAAAAATCCCTCAGAGCTGGTGGTACATGCCTTGAATCTCAGGATTTGGGAGGTAGAGACAGGTGAATCTCTGTGAGTTCCAGGCCAGGCAGGGCTATGTAGTGAGACCCTGTCTCAAAACACAAAACAACAACAACAACAACAACAACAACAACAACAAAAAACCCTCAGGGCTGGTGAGATGGCTCATTGCTTGCTGCAAAGCTTGAAGACCTGAATTCAATCCCTGGGGCCCACATAGCAGAAGGAGAGGACCAACTTCCACAGTGTATTGTCTGTCCTCCACATAAATGGCATGGTGTGTGAATGTCCCCACCTAAACAGGTAAATAAATGAATGAATAAATAAATTAAAATTTTAAAAATCTTAAAAGGGGGCTGGAGAGATGGTTCAGCCAGAGGACCCAGGTTCCATTCCCAGCACACACATGATAGCTAATAACCATCCATAACTCTAGTTCCAGGGGCTCTGATGCCCTCTTCTGGCCTCTGTGGGCACTATAAGCACACAGTGTACTATACATAAATGCAAAGCACTCATACACATAAAATAAAAATATTTAAATCTTAAAACATAAGAAAACCCCTCACAGACATGCCCATAGGCCAACCTAATCTAGTCAGTCCCTCATTGAGACTCACTTTTCAGGTGTTTCAGAGCCTGCCAAGCTGACACTTGAAATTAAGCATTGCAGTGACTGAGGACAGGATCCTGCCACCCTACACTCCTGCCGCCCTGCCTTCCTAACATGATGAACTTCATCCCCCAGAACTGTGAAGGACACTTGACTGAGAGGACCAGGACACCACACATAGAGCTGTCTTGTCCGCACAGTGAGTGACTCACTGTGACACAGATGCAGGGTTATCAGAAGGATCAGGAATTCTAACTTGATGAATATGGCAGAGGCTTTTACAGAGTTCAGGAGCAATGGCAGATGGACAAGGATCATCAGCTGAGTCACATCCCAGCACCAGTCTGCCTGAGCCCTGGGGAACCTGGAACATGGCTGTGCCTGGCCCCATGGATTGTGCCCGGGACCCCACCCTCCCCAGCTCATACAGCGGCCTTTGTCTTCTCTGTTGCTTTGTCTGCCCGCCCCCACTTGACTCCTCTGAGACATCACTTGGTATAATGCTCTGGTGAAGGTGGGCTACAGGGTGAGCAAGGGAATGACGTCCCTCCTACCCCCATCTCTCC